CATTTTCGATCTTACTATCTTTACTTAAATCATGCATGCAAGAAAAATATTTGAAATATTTGATGAACTTGATCGGAATTTAAATACAAGCGAATCTTGCATCTGTGTGTATGTGTGTGTGTATGTGAAGCTTCCAGCATATTTGACGTAATATACGATTAATGTTTAAGGGAGAAAGTGATATGTTTAATTGAATCCTTAGTAATTGATAATGCCTTCGATATTCATCTAACGTTGAAGAATTATTTTCTATCAATAACAATAACATGTTCATTCGAATCTTTTTCTTTTTGAATTCTCTTTTTTTTTTTTTTTTTTTCTCATCACACAGTACTAAGAAATTACTAAGGATTTCCAAGCATACGCGATTAACTAAGTACCATAAATTACCATAAAAATAAATATATAAATGAAAAGAGTGTATATATATATATATATATATACTTGAGTTATGTTTCTATATGTAGTATATATTATGTATATGTACACACATACGCAAAATTATCTATAATACATACATATATATTATATATATATATAGAAATATATTTTCTAATTGAAAGAATTTTATAAGTGACCATATTTTGCATACGCATTTGTATGCAATTGCATTGTGTTGTGTATGCACGCACCGCGGTTGTGCGTGTATATCGTCTAAAGAAAGAGAACGTAAGAAATAATATATGCATATGTAGATAAATGAATGTAACGAAGTATATATATTACGAAGTACATTATATTCCATTCAAGTGGTCACACAGCCAATTATATCTAATTGAATAAAAGGAGAGAAAAAAAATTCAATTTTTTGTTTTTCTAGATTACCGTTTTTGAAAATTTAGAAGATTTCATTTTTTTTTTTTTTTTTTCGAATAACTCAATTATTTTTAAAGATCGAGCTTTAAAAAATAAAGAATTACGACGATTGAAAGCAATCGATATAAAAATTATATTTCTTTTTGAAAAAAATTTGAACATTTCTACGTTTGATCTTAAATCATTTTTTTAAAATATATATCATACTTTGATGAGTTTCCGTGATTTTATTAAACTCAGGGAGAAGGGATCTCGATGAATTCAATTCACAAATCAATTGGAACTAATTTTTTTACATTTCGAATAATTGTTCAACTTTCTTTACAAGTCATATAACGAATCATTCAGCTTCTTTTCAGTTTCGAATAGTGATATTTATTTATTATTTATTACATTAAATAGCATAGAATTTCACAGAATGAAAATCCATATTTTTCACGAATTCAATGATTTTTCAAGAATCATTGTTCCAGAATCGAGATATGCGAAAAATACGTTTAAAAATTTCGAATGGCAGCTAATAGGTATAAAAAAAAAAAAAAAAAATATTCGAAAATATGATTACACGTTAAGACGTTAAGACGTTTGTCACGAATATATGTTTCTTCCACCTGCGATATCCAAGAAATAATTGGCTGTGTACAGTTAATCCGGATGTAATGTACAAACACACAAAGACACGTACGACGTGCACGACGAGTTTGTTATGCGCACACGTACATAAGCATACGATTAAATAATAGACACGAGTGACGCGAGAAACGGAAATTGTATTGTCTTACAATGATGAGTCTCAAATGCGGGAACTTCCTTTCGTATGTAAGAAACGAAATTAAATTATCGCGACGTTAAAACCTTTTAAGGGATCGATTTCTGTTCGTTTTTTTAGAATTTTTATATACGTATAGCTCTAATTTATATTCTGTGTTCTGTTATAGAACAGTGAAAGTTGGATAATTGCTCGAAAATCTAAATCGAAAATCCAAGAGATCGAGACGCTTGTTTGCTGAAAACTACGTATAAAATTAATAACGTGGAGTTTAGAATTTCTCTTCTTTATAATATTCTCTTCAATATTAGGGGAAAGATAGTAGAAAGAGAGAGAGAGAGAGAAAAGACCAAAAAGATTAAGATAAATATAACATGGATGAATTGAATTTAAGAATCGAGATTTATAAAATTTACATTTATGGAATAGTAATATTGAATTTTTATCATAAATCTATACGGGAATTTTCTTCGTAAATTTTGTAAAATATAAAGAATATATAATAAGACGAGTGAAAAATAAATATATGATAATCGTTATTTCAAAGATTATTTATTTCAAAGATTATTTATTTCAAAAGAGAATCATCCCAAAGGATGAGGATAATTATTAAAACAATTATCCAATTATCTATTAAATATTCGTTCGTTTCGTGATATTTTAAAAAAAAAAGAAAAAAAAAATTCCTCCCAGTGATAGGAACGATTATCAAGCATTTATATTGTGAATAATCTTGATACGTATCCAACTTTTACTGTAACATAGAGGAGAGACTAATTGTGCAATCTTATTGAACATTAGGAAAATATGAAAAAGTTCCACGCTTATATCTTTCTTATATGGTTCTTAAATGTTGTTATATTGTACTCTTTCGAAGAGATATAACGATCGAAGCTAACGGTGATACACATTTACCATCCATTTTAAACTTTCATACTCACGATCAGAATTGCATATTTCAAGAGAAAATATTCCTATGCCACATATTAGTTTATAATGCGCACCATATTAATTGTTATGTCGCTATGATTACTCTACGATTTGTATTATTATTATTATTATTATTATTATTATTAATTATTATTATTATTATTATTAATTATTATTATTACTATTATTATTATTATTATTGTTATTATTATTATTAATATTATTATTATTATCATTATTATTATTATTAATATTATTAATATTTTATCACTATAGTTTAATGTCACGTTAGTACAATTCTTGTCATTTCGAGTCGATCGATGATGCACCATGATAATGCCTCTTTGTTTCATGATGATGATGGATCATGATATTATTTATCGCTAACAATTAAAGGAACTGAATAAAGATAGTATTTGTAATAGAAAATAATAAGCGATAAGCTAAACCGTTTATTTAACATTTGATAAAGATTTGAACATTTTTTTTCAGTAATTTAAACATTAAATTATTATTATTTTCTTTTTTTTTGCATTAAAATTTGTAAAGAATTTACTATTAATCATTTTTCTATATTGTTTTTTTTTGAAAAAAATTGTTAAAAAATAAATATCAATCAAAGTATAAAAAAAAAAAAAAATATTATAAAAAAATATAATATGCAAAGATTTCTATTTCGAATGCTATTTTTTTCCCGAGTCTGGTAACGAATTTAACAGAATTTTACTAGCGTACCTACATAAACGAACGAGGGAAACAAAATTGCGATATAAGAAGAAAGATTATTTTCATTTTACTCATACTTTCTGCTAATAGGCATTAAAAAAAAGAATCATCGAAGAAAATTTGCAATTAACGATTACATTATCCCTCGATCGAGCAGCCACTATACATATAACATTTCAACATACGCATGAAATACGCGCTCATACGTTTTGCGATATAAAACAGTATGGGAAACGAATTTTTTAAGCGAATCGGTCTCGTTCGCTAATATTACTACGGTACTTAATTTCTGAGAACAACAGGGTGCAATTTTCTACGGCATTTATTCAATTCTTAATATTCTACAATTTCAACGAAACTTTCTTGATATTATACATATACAAAAAG